TCTGGTGCACAGACTGCATCCAAGCCATTTGGCCAAATACTGTTTGTACTGATGCTTTTACAAGGGCTGTTATCACAGTGGGTATTTGGGTAGTGCCATTACTAAGTAATAAAAAATACTAGTAAGTTTTTAATGGAGAAAATGCAGACAGATAAAGATTGACATGTAGGAGGGGCAGGGAACTGGAGTAAAGCTGCAGATCCTTTCTTTTACAAATGTAAAATTTTTTGTGAACCAGGGGATGCCTCACAGAGCATAGGTGAGAATGAAGTCTTGCAGTCCCATTGCATGTGTACGCCTTTCCTTGCTCAGCACTGAACGTACACGGTGCTTTAAAGATAGTGTTGGGTTTCATTATACAAAATGGTCATTTTTACTTTAGCAGCTTTCTGAAAAGGATTCCCAAAACACAAACAATGGAAAGAGGATCAGGAACTGATGAAAATGGAATGACTACAAGTCTTCTGGACTGAAGCGTGATTGCCATTTTTTGGACATATGAGTATAAATATGGAAACTTAAGAAACAGCTCCTTGACTTCATTCCCTCTTCTAGGCAATTCTGACTCATTTCTTAATCGAAAGACCCAACTCCTCTTAAGTTAAAAAAACTAAAATGAAATATTGAGATGCCAGTTGTCAGCTTGCCATGCATTCTTAATGCACACAAGCATGTCAACTTTCTTCTTTTTCTAGCATCATGTATGGTTGGTTGCCAGGGTTGCCATCAGTTTTGTCTGATACTTCAAAGCACCAATATCTAAGGACATCTCAGTTGATGACTATCCAGAGCATAGTGCTGACATATGTTATCAGAGTATGTAGTGTGTGCTTCTTTCCATGAATTCTGGAAGATGGCTGAAAATTGTTTTTTTGGATTTTGATGTAGACATTTAGATTGATTTATTGCTTTACACACATGGCCAAAAGTGAGGGAGAGTTTGATCACTTGTCTTTAGTGGTTGTAATGACTAATCTTACTCTTAGTACCTGCTTGCTCAAATGTCTTTTTCCATTGCATCTAAATTAGACGAAGATACTTTCTACTTTCCTGTTCTCTGCTTTCCAGACTTCATAACCGGTGTCAATATTGGCCAGTTTGTCTACAAACTGATTCTTCAGGGTTTTTTTCTGTTTTTTTTTTTCCCACTGGAATGTAACAATTGGACTAAACCAAACAGATTAGAAAAGTGATAAAAGACAACTGTTGCTGTGGAATAGTGGATTTTTGCAAACCAAGGTTTTTTTTCCTACACTGAAGAGGGGATGTCTGCTTGTAAGCACAGTATTTTAGGTACTCAGACTCAAGCACTGGATAGCTCTTGCTTTACTGATGCTTCTGATCAAGCTTATAGGAACAAATAATTATTAATAAAGGCTGATATATACTAAATAGAAAACGCATATGTTACTTTGATATGAGATTACATGGTGCTGTTTCTTAGTGGCCTCGGTCTCCTAAAACACAATTTTAAAATTATTATTAAAACCTTGCTTGGCAATTCTGAGTGAACGATGAGGGTTCTGCTATAAATATTTAAAGTGCATTTGTGCCTTTCAACTAGTTAAAGGCAGTTTCACCAGGACTGAGCACAGCACTTACTCCAGGAGAGCTGGATGCATAGACCTGTTATGGGTGAGTGGATTGATCTGGAGGTTACTGTAACCTCAGTGCTCCCACTACTGGCCATAAATGTAGAAATAGGTCACTGAGCAGATGCTTTCTCGTTTGCCATTCGTTGGCGAGCTAATGAATCTGTTTTGGCTACAGACAGGAACAGCCCTATGAGCTGCTTTATCGCTGCAGTGGTTTTAAAACCAAAGATTTACTGGAAAGGCAAGCCAGCAGCACACAACTTGTTGTCAGCCACTGTTCCTTACTGGTGTTTCATCTCTTCAGTAACTAATGTCCCCCACAGCTAATGGTATGTCAGTACTGCAGACAAGGTGTAGGAGATACTAGTATTCACTTGGAATCGTCTAGTCTACATTTTGGCTTACAAAGGCATCAGAATAGTGTTGAAGTTGTTTAGGGTTGACTTATTTGTTGGGACTCTTGGTATGCATTACATCTCTAATTTGAAAATGTGGACATCTCAGAACCTTTCACAGTAAGAGTTGAAGGATAGTACATGGGAAGACAGAACCTATGGGCTTTTATTGACATCTCAGAATGTCAAGAATCTTCACTGGTTTGCTAAAATATGAGGCTGCTTCAGGTCGAAAATGAGCATTTTGAAATTTCCTGAAAACCAAGCACTTAATGACTAGGTGTCTGGTTTCTTTTAGTGAAAATTCAGTCTTCTAATGGAAAAAAAATATCCCAAGATAATAAAAGAATACCCTTATGTTGCAGTGTTATTCTGCTTTTATTTGGTGCTAGTTCTGGTATGTGGACATGACACAGTATGACACCCAGGGGCAGACAGGGAGCAGAGTTGTTGACACTCGTTGATGCACTGGTTCTAGCTGGAGAGTTGCTCTGAGCTCAGGAGGCAGCTGGTTCAGTGCCAGCTGGGAACCTTTATGGGTTTAAGAGGTCAGCTGACCCTTAAGCATCACTGTGTCCCAATGGCAAGTGTGTTTCCAGGCTGCTCTGGTATCCTCATCAGCTCTTGATATTCTGCTTAACCACTCACCGCAATGAACTGCATCAGCCTCTCTTAATCCTGTTTTACATTTAGCTTTATCCAGCCACTCAGTTTGGCTTGATTGGATTTTTTCATTCAGATATCCTTATCTGGAGTAGCATGGTAGATAACAAATACAACGTGATGCAGTGGTGATAAAACTGTTCAGCAGCCCACACTCATGCTATTGCTTTCATTATATAAACTTAATCAGTTCTTTATACATTGTAATGTGTCTTCTCTTAAAGATTAGCTTCAGTCATATGCCTTTTGTACTCTTGCTTAGTTGAATATTTCTAATGTGAAATGTGCTTTCAGGAGCTGTCTTTTAGCCTGAAGTGAATGTAGTGCTGCTATTTGTCTTTAAATGTTATGCTTGGGCATTCCTCAGTTGTACATGTTCCATATTCCAGGCTAGATGGCAACTGCTTTTCACTGTCTCCTACTTGTAGCTTGCATGATGCTTCTCCATGGATTCTAAGATCCTGTTACTTGATTGGCAAAGCTTTATACCTTATCCTAGGTTAGATAATCCCTTAATTTATGAAGATGATATGCAGATTGAGAAGACCTAGTATGGGAGGAAGGAAATGTGACACAAAAATCTATAGTGCTGATTTCCCCTCAAAAGAAATGCTGCTTACCTGGTTCTGTGTGGTGAATAGCTCTTACCTGCTGTTCACCTGTGAGGGCTATCCAGTTTAAATTCTCTTAAAATCTGAAGGATACAAAAGAACAAAAACAAACCCCAAAAGAACAAAATCTTTAAATTTTGGAAATTTGAAAGCATACCTAAGATGTTCAGCTATCCCAATTTCACACATTTGCATTTAATTGGAATCTTAATAAGGAACATGGTGTTAGAGCTCATAGTTTAATATATTTAGTTACCTAATAAATTTTCAGACATCTTTATTTGGTTATAATGTGGTGTAATCGGAATAAACAGGATCCCTGTGTTCCTATAGCAACAGAATGCTACAGTTTGAGAAGCTGCTTCATTGCAGCAGATATATCCATAACTCTTCTAATAATCTGAGGATTTTAAACCAGTAAACACAAAAATGAGGATTCTGTTTCTTATTTCTGTAGATAAAATTTGGTGTAAAAATTAAACCATATAAATAACTTTCCAGAAGGTCGACACCACCTTCCTAGGATAGGCATAGTTTCAGAGTTTGTAAAAATTACTGAATATTTATTCAGTATTTATTATTATTCTGTTACTATTCTAGCTATATAAACTATGCAGCTGTGCTACCAGTAGGATTTTCTGTAAGAAATATGGTGTATTTAGATGTGAGGTAGGGTTGGTTTTTTTTCAGCTTTCAGTTTTCTTTTAGTGCAAGCTGTTGTTTTGTTTTTGTTTTTTTTTTTTTTTAAACTAAATAAAAATTGCCATCTAAATTGGTTATTTTGATCCAACATAATGACCTGCTCTGTAATAGCTTCATTTATTATTGAATTTTCCTTGTATATAGCGGAGGTGGTATAAGGCAGTGTAGAAGTGTCAGCTTTATAGCTCTGAAGATCTTCTACATGTTTGGTAAATGGGATTCAGTTGTGTTTTTGTAGTAAGGGAAACAGAAAGATAATGTTTCCATTAAAGTGATCAACTATGCATAAAGAAATAGGATAGGAAGACGTATGAAAATGCATTTAGAGAAATCCTGTTTTCTTGAGTAAACTGCATCTGTTGCATATATAACTTAACACCTTTTAGGTAATTCTGGAAGTCTTGTGGTGCTAGTAACAATTTTACTAACCTATTCCTAGAAAAGAAGTATCACCTCTCTGGAAGGTCTGGAATCCTACTGCTAGGATTTGGCTTTGTATTAACCCAAAGCTCTTTACTCATTTGGAGTACTCTTAGAGAAGAGTTGATTAGAATTTTAATTAATGTATAACTTTGAGAATTATTTTGCATTCCTCTTAATAAAAATATTCTGTTACAGCGAATAAGAACAAAGGCACTCTCTTTCCTCCCCCTCCTCTGGGACAGTGTGCCTTCATGCTTCAGGACATTAATATTTCAATAGTCTCACTGGATAAAATTGAACAATGGATGAAACCTAATTATTTTTCTTAGGCCTGTGATATGATCTTATCCAGGTTCATTTTCTTATATTCTGTTCTAGAGAATTTCATTACAAATCACTCATTCCCACCTGACAGATTTCCTTTAAAAATAATAATACTGAAAAAAACCCAGAAACTTTGTCTCCTCTTTTTGTTTCTATGTTGTATTTCCCCCTCCCCAAAATTATTGAAAAAAAGAATGAAAATCACATCTCTTAGCTGCCTCTGCTCCCTCCCTTCGCCGCTGTTCTTGCTTGTTTTCTTTCTCACTTCTGTCCTCTGTTTTGTACAGATGTCCTCTTCTGATGCTGCTCAGCCTTTGGCATCCTCTCCTTCTCTGCAAGCTGCTGCCGAGAAGAGCAAAGCAGAGGTATATGTTTCGGTGTAACTCCTGTCAGGTTACTGCTTTGCACAAGTGTTTACATTTCTGTAGTTTCACTGAGCTAACTAGAGAATTTGTGTTGCTGGTAATCCTTCAAGCATTTCAAATACTTCTCTCCTTGCTTCCTGGGCTGGATAAATGCAAAGCACGGGTACCGCAGGACAAAGCACATGCACGATTGCTACCTCTTGGCGTTTATACGTCACAGTTTTGGTTCTGCTCTGGTTTAGCGTCACAAAACTGGGCAAACCCCATCTCCTTCCAAGCTAATGGGCATGAATGACATTGTCCTCCTCAGGAATTGTTTCTGGTATCTTTTTCATATTACTTGCTTGTTTCAGAATCTAAATTATCAGTACTGTTCCAGCTGTTTAGTTCAATCTCCTTGGAGATAAATATAGAATCAATCTGGTTACATTTCTGTTAACTCATACTGGTTTTAATATTCCTTCTAGCTGGGATATATGTGTACGTGCTGACGTTACGTTTACTGTTTAGAAGGGCCTTTGAGAAACTTGACACACAAAGAAGTAGCAGATGAGGCATCGTTTGTGTGAACTTTCAATAAATGTCGCAATCTGCAACAATAATGAAATACATTTTTTTTAGAATGTGAGTGCTCATGTTAGGCTCTTCTGGATGCTTCGCTCTAAATTGAGACTGTATGCAGTACATGAAATAATTTGTGATCTAAACATAAATCATGTTTTTTTTCATCTAAATACAGAAAATGTGGACAGATGTTTATAAATCATTTTAGTTCCGCTATATTTAAACATAAATTAAAATTTAAATGACAATGTCATGGACTAAACCTCAAGCCTTGGTGAATTTGACATTTTTAAAGTGGTACCAGGAATAGCAGCAGCTACTTAGAATGAAACTTGCTGTTCTTTTGCTACCTGCCTCCCTTGATGCATTCAAATTTGAAAGTTCCTCTATGTAACTAGTATGCAGTGTTGTTAGAAGTGAATCTTGGAGGGGAATGACACACACAAATAATTTTTTGCTTAGAATTTAAGAGCAATATAAAGCCAATTTCATTTTATTATCTTCATCGTGCTTTTTGACTGCTTTTGCAAGTAATGAAACACTTGAGTTGAAGTTCTGACATGAATGCAGCATCTGATAAATGTTTTTATTTAGTCTGAATTCATTTTTCTCTAATGGAGCTGAAGCATAAAGCTTGCATATTGAAATTGTAAAGTGTGAAGATGAAGGACTTAGGAATTTTCAAGTCCACAGTGAAAATGAAGAGAACTCAAATCACTAGGAATTGAGATTGTTCCTGTAGGCTCTGTGAGGTGTGAAGAGAGAAACACTGGTACACAGTTTAAGTCTTCATATATTCACTGTGAAGCTGTCAGGGATTTGTTAAGGGCAATGAGAGGCATTTATTTATATTTGGTCACTTTCATGCAGTGTTTGCTATATGAAACCTACTGCAAGCCTTCCTCATTCTCAAAGTCCTGAAGAATAAATGTTTCCAGATACTTTTAGAATCATAGATTCCTTTAGGTTGGAAGAGACTTTTAAGATCAAGTCCAACCCTTAAGCCAACACTAGTAAGTCCTCTGCTAAAACAGATCAGAATCTCTCAGGGTTGGAAGGGACCACAAGGATCACCCAGTTCCAACCCCTCTGCCATGAGCAGGGACACCTCCCACTAGATCAGGCTGCCCAGAGCCTCATCCAGCCTGGCCTTAAAGACCCCCAGGGATGGGGCCTCAACCACCTCTCTGGGCAACCCATTCCAGGGTCTCACCACTCTCATGGTGAAGAACTTCTTCCTCACATCCAGCCTGAATCTGCCCACTGCCAGCTTTGCCCCATTCCCCCTAGTCCTGTCATTACCCGATAGCCTAAAAAGTCCCTCCCCAGCTTTCTTGTAGGCCCCCCTAAGATACTGGAAGGCCACAATAAGGTCACCTCGGAGCCTTCTCTTCTCCAGACTGAACAGCCCCAACTCTCTCAGTCTGTCCTCATAGGAGAGCTGCTCCAGCCCTGGGATCATTCTCGTGGCCCTTCTCTGGACACGCTCCAGCAGGTCCACGTCCCTCGTGTAATGGGGGCTCCAGAACTGGAGGCAGTACTCGAGGTGGGGAGTACTTTTTCCTCTAGAAGTGTAGTTTATTTAACAAAATATATTTTTTAAAAAAAGTTGAAGTCGAACTGGAAATCAGGACATCCTGAAGATGATAATGTGCAAAAACTTTAACTCTGCTTTCACTTAAACATATTTAAGTACACTTAAGCTACTGAGTTTGAAAAGTAAGTGTACTGTTAACGACGTTTCCAACAACCTTTCCCAGGAGGAAAGGAAACAAATCAAATCACAGTTGTCTAAGATGTAGAAAAGTTTCCACAGGAGACTAGGTTTATTTAAATTATTCAGCTTGGGAAATCTGGAGTGGGAAGAGGGAATGAAAGACTTTTGGAAATGTTATTGCTCTGACAGTATATTTGTGTGCAGTACGTGATTATGGTCAGAGGATTTTGGGAGTCTTTAGAATGCAGGTTGTTACAAGGATTGGTGACACAGTGATGGAAGAAAGGCTTTTGTTTGAAAGGCATGGCCATGCATTTGTAGTCCTAGTTCAGTAAACTTGCCAGTCTCAGGTCATGGCAATGGCCTCAAAATGAAACACTGCTCCCAGTCATACAAACTTACGTTCACTAAAATTCAAACTGGTCTCTGCTTCTTTTTTTTTAAAACGGACCTACTAAATTGCCATTTACTGCAATTTGTTGACTGTGGAATTGTTGCCTGAGTGACACCCACATTTAAGCAGGTGTTTGGTATGATAGTCTCACTTGCCAAGACCTGAGTGTCCAGGTCAGTGCCTGATGACGTAATTCACAGGTGTTACTTGGAACTTGAGTGACCTCAGCTGAGTAACCCAAATCCACCTGGTAAATATGGTGGAAGTTCTGAAAACTGATTCTTTGAAGTTGTAAAGAATGTGTTACTTGGATTCCCTCCGATGCCCAGTCCCCCCCAAATAAACAAGCCAAAAAAAAGTAGAAAAGAACCTTCATTTTAGTCTTAGAAGTATTTTAACCAAATGTCATGTTACGCAGATGTAAAAAAAATATATATATTGCATAGAATCACAAAATCATTGATGTTGGAAAAGGCCTAAGATCGTCAAATCCAGCCATAACCTAACACTATCATGACTACTAAACCATGTCCCCAAGTGCCACACCTACACATTTTTTTAACACCTCCAGAGATGGTGACTCCACCACCTCCCTGGGCAGCCTGTTCCAATGCCTCACCACTCTTTCAGTAAAGAAATCCTTCCTAATATCTATTCGAAACCTCCCCTGGCACAACTTGAGTCCATTTCCTCTTGTCCTATCACTGGTAACCTGGGAGAAGAGACCAACACCCACCTCACTACAGCTTCCGTTCAGGGAGTTGTAGAGAGCAGTAAGGTCTCCCCTCAGCCTCCTCTCCCCCAGACAAAACAATTCCAGTTCCCTCAGCTGCTCCCGATAAGACGTGTTCCCCAGACCCTTCACCAGCTTTGTTGCCCTTCTCTGGACCCACTCCAGCACTTATACTGTGCACTTATCCTGTGGTGCGCAAAACTGAACCCAGTACTCCAAGCTATGGCCTCACCTGAGCCGAGTCCAGGGGCACAATCACATCCCTAGTCCTGCTGGCCACACTATTTTTGATACAGGACAGGGAAAAAAAAAAATCCTTATTGACAGAAACCTGTAGCCTGGTAATCTGTTTTCTTTTTCATAATGGAGTTGCATAGACAGCTATCTAACTTCTCAAACTTCTTCCTAATGTTGGGAAGCATACTAAAAAGCAGTGTCTTGTAGAGCAAAGCTGTTTTGATGCTTGGAAGAAAGGGATCCAAGTCTAAAGACTAAAAGAACACTTAGGAGCTACTGTCTCATCTCCTTTATTACATATGGTAAACTCTTGTTCCATCCATTTTGGTGTTCAGGTATAGTCACAAGTACTGTACTGTAGTTGTACAAGGTAAATGCAGACAGAGGCTAGGTCTAAAAATCACTACTAACACCATGTAAAAGCAATTGCTGGCCTAAGAAGTCTATCTTCTGGATGTTATGATGCCTTAAGGACTATTTTATGCTTTTCTGCAGTCATACGGGGTCTGTAATATTGCCCCATTTATTCAGTCAAAACTAAAATGAAAAAACTTGTGTAACATCATTACATTACAATATCCTTTTGGAACAACTTAATGTTTTATAACTCAGTGAGTCTGTCACGTGGCCTAGGTCAACTTTTTATATCCAGGAGTATTTTTTAAAGACTACTAGATTAGCTTTTAAAAATAAGTAACTCTCTGCAGAGCGCTGCATGCAAATCACCTTACTTTAATTCTTTTGTCAAAGAGACTGGCATCTGCCTTAACGACAGAGGTTATCAGAGTTAATGGAGAACTTGTAGATGTTTGGGATTTTTTTGTCTTAGATCTACTTAGTTTAGGAGAAACAGCACTCATTCTTTTTTTCTGCTGCTTATAAGAAGAAATGCAGATGAGCAGGTGAAATAGTAAATTTCCTGAATTCTCAGTTACAATATTTTTAGTAGTACTATTTGAGCAAAATGAGTCACTTCTGGAAGTAGAGCAGATAGAAGCATAAAATTTGAACTGAGAGTGTGTAACTGAAGATCTCTGTTTATATTTTATATGACTGGACATTCAATATATTTGCAAATACATTGTTACTGAGTACTAGCAAAATGCCCCTTTTTCTTTCAGAAGGAAAAAGAAAAAAAGAAAGACGAGAAAAAGAGAGAGAGAGAATCAGAAAAACCATCAAAACAGTTAGCAGTTGAAAAGGTAAGAAGAGTTTATTTTTTCAAGTTATTTAAAAATACCCCATAGTATTAGATATATACAAAGATTTGGAAGAAAATTAAGTTTTTAATGTGTGTGTATATATGTGTGTATATGACTAGTAATCCATATAATGCATGTCAATGGTTTACTTACACTGTTGGTTGCATACAGAGGTTGGTTGACCATACAATAAGGAATGTGTTTGGGGGAGGAGGGAAGTGAGTTAGGATTTGTTAAGATTTAAGCTCAGATAACTGAGGTTTTTAAGATGCTATTATTACACAGAAAATTTTCTGTTTTCTTGAGTGCTGTGTGGTAACTATATACTGCCTTGCATAAATTAATCCATTTTAAACATACGTGTGTAATTTACAGAACTGAATTTCTAGCTCTAGTCTAGGTGACTGGAAAATATCAAACCAGATCATATCACAGAATGTGACAGACAAACCAGTAAAGGTGTTTCTTTATGCAGCTATATTGGTACATAATGGGCAGCCTTAGCAACATAGGTAAAATTAAATCATGTACACTTCCATATAGAGCTAATATTAATACAAAAATGGAATGGGTAATTTAAGTATTAAATACAATAATTTCTTCTAAGACAGATGTCCTCTCTCAGATGATGTGAATCCATTAGCATGTTCTGATCTGCAGTGTAGTCTGCAGAACACATTGGAGTCACCATCTGCCAGTTTATTCCCCAGTATTGCTGTGTTATAATTATGAAAAATGTTGTGTATTCATAGATTATGATTGCAGATGCATTTCTAGTTCAGTTTTCAAATAGAAGTTGTTTATTTTGCATAATAAAACAAGATACAAAAGTATGTGCACACTTTGTAGGGGGGGCACACGACACTTCCTCCCCAATACAAATAATCTTTTTTTATGAAAATGGAAAGCAGTTTTGGAATAAGGTAACACAGGAGCAAACTTTGTTATGACAATTTATGCAGCTTCACTGAGCTAGTGAACAAGGATATCCTTATTTGAATGATAGGAGGTTAAAGCATATTTATGGATGAGAATAAAAATATTAAAATTGTTGTTTATTCAGATTTTACAAGGACATCCAGTTTTATTCTGGTCCTTGGAAAGCAATATACTTTAATTACAAAGGCTAAAAACATTCCTGTGGTTTGGAAACTTTTTAACTTTCTAAAACCCAAAGATCTCGTTTTGGTCTGAGGGAGAGAGGGTTTCCCTTTGCAAGGATGCCTGAACCTTATCGCACGGCTGGGCTCTCACTTGGCTAGGGGAGAAGGAAAGATGACAGCGCATAGCTACAGCTGAGGGACTACCCTAATACTTGAAATAAAAAACAATTCAAATGCCACTGATTAGATTCACATTTGAAATGTCATTTGATAATCAGTTAATGATTAAGGAGATAAAAAGAAGTATTTTGGTTTAAAATGCTTGTACTACAAAATGTAGGATTTTGGTAAATATATCTGCATCAGAGAACAGTGCTGTTATAACAGCTGCAAAATGTTTGAAATACTGCAGCATATTTCATTTCACTGCCTTATTAATGTGTCAGCACTGGTTGCTCAAATGGAACTCATCTACGTGTCATCTTTTTAATTTAAGAGATTCTTAAAGCTTGGGCTTTTCAAGGCTTTTAAGGATCATTCAGAACAAACTATTTTAGGCACAGCCTGTAAACTTTACACATTAGAAAATGGCAGGCACATTCTAGAATGCAAAGAGACCTATATCAAATGCTTGATATTTCCATTAGAAAGTACTGGTGAGATAATACATATAATAATACAGTGCTGCTTTTGTGGTATGATTCTGCTTCAGGGAGCTGATAAACATTAATATTCTTCTTAGTTTGACTAATAATGATACACTTCTCACCTGGTTAGAGACCGTCTGTAGGATGTTTTAAATATTGCATGTTGAATCAATAGGGGAATGCTGGTGTCTTGACCATAGTGTCATGTTTTCAGCAACCACATCAAACAGCAGGTGGCTATTTATTCCAGTTCTCAGCTTTCTGGAGAAGGAAACAGAATATAAGAACCCTTAATATGTGAAGTCTCTGGTCACGTTTATTGCAGGCATGTTTTATCTCCAGTTTAGACATCCTGGGCTTGGGAAGCAAATGAATTAAAGATATGTGACCAAGCAATTGGCAGTTCTGCTACAGTTTTGAGACCTCTCTTGATTAAAGTAATTCAAGCTGTGTTTTAGCTGTTCTGTAGAGGAATGAGTAAAGGTGGAAAAAATGACAGGCTTTAAAAAAGTAAAAAGTATCATAAACCTTAGAATCATAGAATGGCTTAGGTTGGAAGGGACCCTAAAGATCACCTAATGCAACCTCCTGGCCATGGGCAGGGACGCCTCTCAACTAGACTAGGTTGCTCAAGGCCTCATCCAGCCTGGCCTTGAACCCCTCCAGGGAGGGGGCATCCACAGCCTGTCTGGGCAAAAGTAGAAATGAAGCTATACAAAACTTCATGTCTCTTTACAAGTGGGATGTACTCCTACAAGTCTTATGTTCATATTGTCTTCTTTTTTCATATCTTATATTGAGTTTACATTTCTTAGCACTTAAAACAAGAACATGCATCGTAAAAAATAAAAATGTTCACATTCAGTTCCTATGTTCTGATCTATGTTTCCTAGAACTGACTGATCTGCTCCTACACCTGTGCAGTTAGGAGCCTTTCCTCAGTGACTAACTGATCTTTAGCCTTTAACAAGCTGAACGTGTAGCGTGATTTCTGATGCATTTTCTGAAAGCTTGTAGCATTGATAAACTTTATTATTCCAATATTATGTTAACGTGTCACGTAATTCTGGCATAAGAGATAATTTGTTGCTCAGCGTGGTTAGATAAGAGAACAGAAAATCTTTTAACTGATTTAATGACAGTAGGCTTTCTTACTGAAACTGCTTTTCAGTAAGAATCATCCTTTTCTTAAAGCAGGTTTCATGGGAAACATTTTTTATGAATGTTGGAGTTGGAGACAGTGATTTCAAATGTAGAGCAGAATTTCCTCGAGATCAGAGAGAGCATACTGCAGAATAGCGAGTAGCAAGGATACTTGTTTGACTATTTTTCTAGGATGTTCCACTTTCTGTGTCAAAATTAACAGGTAGGGGAGTTGGACTAAATGATATCTAGAGGTCCCTTTCCAACCCTTACCATACTGTGATGCTGTGATAACAGGGTCTTACTTTGTTAGCTGCAGATTGAGTCTAGTCCAGTGATTAGTGTTGTATTGGAAGCAGCCAACAACATGATGTTCCACAACAGCTCTGCAGAATTCTTAATAAAATTAAATAAATGGCATTGCCAAGGTACTGGCAGCTGTGGGGTTTTTTTGTTTTTTTTTTTTTTTTCAGTCTACTTGAAGAAAGTTGAGAAACTTGTATAACTTGCCCAGGGTCCTTCCTCCCCCTCTCCCTGTGCCACTGCCACAGTTACAGACCTTGTTTACTCAGTGCTAATGCTTAAAATAACTTTATCCTTGCAGTATCTTCAGAGAAAAAGGGGGAAAAAAAAAAAAAAAAAAGGCAAGAAAACTGCTAAAACACTTCTGGAGTTCTTCCCGACATGAAAACTGGGGCCAGGTTACCTGGAGCTGAGGTGTCCAATCAAAGCCCAGCTTGTTTGCAATCAACAGAAACACCAATTTTAGCAATATAAAATTGTATTAAATTACAGGAATAATAGCTACTCGCTTGCTTCTTAATGCTTCTTATGGGCCAATTAAGAATAACGGATTTTAAATTGACTAGGAATGTAAATCTGATACTTTAAGAGCCCATTTCAGTAGTAGAGAGGGAAGAAAGTCAGTAGTGACCACCCCTCTTACATGTTTTGCTGATGGTAACACATGAAAACTTTTAATTTGTAGGTGAGAAAAAACAGCTAGGCTTTTAATAGCCATTAAAAAAATTATTTTAAAGTATTTTTATCGGTACTTGGGTAATTGAATGTGCTCAATTTACAGTCATTTGGTGACTCTAAGAATAATAGGTAGCCTATATATTCTACTGGTGTCATAGGAAGCTACCAAAGCCTCATAGTGGTTTTCTGAACTGAAATTTAAACTTTGTGGTCATTTTAGGTAGTTTCTGCTCATAGCACAGGGGAAAACTTTAGGTAAGCTCTGTGCTGCTTCTTCATGCAGCAGGTTGGAGCAGGCTCTGTGCACCCCATCCACGCTGAACCTGTTCTCCACTGAAAGGAAGCCCAGAAGGGTAGGAGAATGGGGTCCAGTCTGGTCATGGGGGCTGAGGGAGCAGGGCTGTGAGGGACATGGCTGGGACATGGCCAGCATGTGAACTGGGGAGACTGGGTGCTCCCAAACAAAGACTGCAGGGAACGGCCCGAGGAAAACTGTGTTTGGGAATGGTCAAAGGGTATAAAGAGTAATGCTGCTTTTAGTAAAGGCACTTGCATGGCACTGTTTAGAACATAGAACTTTGCCCTGTATGAATGGCTTCTTGAATTTCAGAGCAGCTAGGACTATTCTAGGCTTTTTCAAGGCATATCTTTTTATGTCCATCTGCGGTACAAACTGAGACAAAGGCATAACTAGGTATGATGTCCTGAGGCTTTGAGGTGTTCCCAAAGTAAAGGGAATATTCATTCATGCCTGAACATTCAGATTTTTGTAGGGTTTGACTTTTTATATAGCTTAATTTTTAAATGAAGAAAACCTGATGTGTGTCAGTGCTAGCACTCCAGAATTAAGCTGGAAGTGATTCAGAAAACTGTCCGCGGAAAACTTGGCAAGTATTTCTGATATCCAAAATTAGAAGGTTCAGGTAAGTTCATTGCACTGAATGCTTTTGAGGTGTTTGGGTTCAACACTGTGTAGCTCTCTGTGCTGTTTATTTTAGAGGTTTCATGTCAGCCAAAGACTTTAATGAAAATATTGTGACGTTTTCACTGTAAAATGCTGCATATTGAGGGCAATAACTACCCTGAAACCACATCTAATTTTTTGAAAGTAAGGTTTTTTTTTAAT